AAAATATAATTAATAATTGAATATTAAAATAAGTAAAATAAGATAATTAAACTAAAATGCATTATTCGGGGGCGGGCGAGTCTTAGTGTCTCCCCGCACCCGTAATTAAAAATTGGGTTTTCCCCGCACCCGCACCCGTACCCGTACCCACTCAAATTGGGTTTTCCTCGCTAATTTCGGGGCGGGTCCGGGCGGGCCCCGACGGGTCTGGTTTTTTTTGCCATGCCTATCAAGCACTATTGCTGCTGTGTGTTTTGCCCAGAACACATGCTCACTTCAAAGAAACTCTCTTGTATGGAAGGGAGTCCCTGACCTTTGAAGAAGTTCAATCAACCTTGTATTCTAAGGACTTGAACAAACGCAAGGAGCATAAACCTTCGACAGCGGGTGAAGGTTTGGCCGTTAAGGGAAAATTCTTGTGAAAGGATGATAAGTTTGACAAGAAGAAAGGTAAAAGTCAACAGAAGTCTTATAATGGCGAAACATCTAGTATTCGATGTTATCACTGTAAGAAGGAGGGTCACATAAGAAAGGTGTGCCTTAAAAGCCTGAAAGATCATAGAGGTAATGGCAATGCAACCATTATTCCAGATAACTTCGACTCATATGATGTTCTTGTGGTTTCAAGTGGCGACTCGAGAAAAAGAGTGGATTATGGATTTAGGTTGCACTTGATACATGACTCCAAACAGAGAATTGTTCGAGGAGCTATGTGATCAAGATGGTGGATCTGTGCTGTTGGGAAGCAACAAATCTTGCAAAATTGCAGGTATTGGATCTGTGAGATTCAAGCTCCATGATGAGTCAATAAGGTTATTGGCTAAAGTCAGGTACGTACCTGACTTGAAGAGAAATTTGATTTCACTTGGTGAATTCGACAGAAAAGGATACGTTTTTTAAGGAGAGAAAAGTATCCTAAAAGTCATGAAGGGATCGAAGGAAGTCTTGAGAGGCGTGAAGAAACAAGGCTAGTATACCCTTAAGGCTGAGGTTGTAAGTGGTTCGACAAATGTTGCATCCACGAAACCTATGTCGAAGACAGAATTATGGCACATGAGATTGGGCCATGTCAAGAAAGAGGCCTGGTCGAATTGGGGAAGAAGAACCTGCTAGGAGGTGACAAAGTCGAAAAGTTGGAATTTTGTGAATCTTGTGTATTTGGTAAATCCTGTAGAGCGAAGTTTAACAAAGGCAAGCAAAGAACACATGGATCCCTGGGATACATTCATGCTGATCTTTGGGGGCCTGCAAGGAATCCTTCACACTCAGGTGCAAGATATTTTCTATCCAACGTTGGTGACTATTCCAGAAAGCTATGGGTTTTCATTCAGAAGACGAAGGATGGAACTTTTGAGAATTTCAAAAGTTGGAATATTTTGGTCGAAACTCAAACTGGCAGAAAGGTTAAGAACCGACAATGGCCTTGAATTCTGCAACGAAACATTCAACAGTTACTGTGTTGAGTCCGGGATTTCAAGGCATAAGACTGTAGTAGGTACTCCTCAACAAAATGGCTTAGCTGAGAGATTCAATCGAACAATCCTTGAAAGGGTTAGATGCATGTTGGTTAGTGCTGGATTGAAGAAGGTGTTTTGGGCAGAAGCTGTTTCGACAACAACTTACCTGATAAATAGATGTCCATCAACTGCCTTGGGAATAAAGACACCTGAAGAAGTTTGGTCGGGACATCCACCTAGTCTCGACAAACTGAGAGTATTTGGCTGTGTGGCCTATGCTCATATTAGGCAAGACAAGGTCGAACCTAGAGCTCTGAAATACATGTTCATGGGATACCCTAAAAGAGTCAAAACTTATAGGATATGGTTCCTAGAGCCAGGTCACAGGAGGTGTATCACCAGTTGAGATGTGGTTTTCAATGAAGCAAGAGATGGATTTCAATAAAACTGATGATGCTGACGAAGAGCTGGAACATGGAGAGATTCCTGTTAAGGTGGAGCATGTTTATGCTGAATTGCTTACCCCAGATGAAGTCAAAGAAGATGCATAAGATGTTGTCGAAGATGAGGAGACTGATAATGACTACCTGCTAGCAAGAGACAGGTCGAGGAGAGTCATCAAGCCACCTCAAAGACTTGTGTATGCAGATCTTATAGCTTATGCCTTAATCTCTTTAAGTGAGGTTCTAGACGAAGAACCTAAAGACTATAAAGAAGTTATGAGGAGTCGAAAAAATACTGAATGGATGAAGAGATGAAATCTCTTCATGATAACAACACCTGGGAACTGATCAAGAAACCTAATGGAGCCAGGTTAGTCAGTTGTAAATGGATTTTCAAAGTTAAGGAAGGAATCGAAGGAGTGACGTCGAAGAGATACAAAGCAAGGTTGGTTGCTAGGGAGTTCACTTAGAAAGAAAGTATCGAATTCAATGATGTGTTCTCTCCTGTTGTGAAGTACATATCCATTCGAGTGTTGCTTGCCATGGTGGCCCAGTTCGACCTTAAACTGGAACAGATGGATGTGAAGACTACGTTCTTGTATGATGATCTAGATGAAACTATCATGATGAGACAACCTGAAGGGTATGTCGAAAGGGGGAAGGAAGATTATGTGTGCAAACTGAATAGATCTTTATATGGACTGAAACAATCTCCTCGACAGTGTAATAGGAGTTTCGACAAGTTCATGACACACATAAGTTTCATCAGAAGTCAGTTCGACCATTGTGTTTACTTCAGATTTCGACCGGGTAATTCATTTGTTATTTTGTTGCTCTATGTGGATGATATTCTAATAACAAGCAACAATGTCGAAGAGGTAATGGGGGTGAAGGTTGAATTCAATAAAGAGTTCAACATGAAGGATCTGGGACTTGCGTCTAGGATTCTTGGGATTGACATCCGGAGAGATAGAAAGCAGCCAACATTATGCTTATCTCAAGAGGCATACCTACAGAAGGTTCTCGAAAAGTTTGGTATGTCGAATTCAAAGTCTGTTGTGACTCCGACAAACCCTCAATTCAAGCTCAGTATAAATCAGTGTCCCAACACTGATGTTGAAAGAACTTATATGAATAGCATTCCATATGCTAACATAATAGGTTTTTTGATGTATGATATGGTTTGTACTAGACCCGACATAGCATATGCAGTAAGCCTTGTAAGTAGGTACATGGCGAATCTTGGAAAGGCTCACTGGCAAGCATTGAAGTGGATTTTAAGGTACCTAAATGGGTTTCTGAATAGAGTCCTAATTTATGGTGGAGCCTTGGGTGAAGATAATAAAGCAGCAATCGAAGGATATGTCGACTCTGATTATGCAGGTTGTATAGATTCCAGAAAATCTATCTCTGGATATGCGTTCACTATGTTTGGGACAACAATCAGTTGGAAAGCAATACTTCAGAAGGTCGTTGCCTTATTAACCACTGAAGCGGAATATATTGCCCTAACTGAAGTTGTGAAGGAAGCATTGTGGCTTGAAGGTTTTGCAAATGAGCTAAAATTTCAAGGTTGAGTTATCACTGTTAAATGTGACAGTCAAAGTGCAATACGCATGTCGAAGAATTCAGCCTATCATGAGCGAACCAAGCACATTGATGTGAGGTTGCATTTCATCAGAGGGGTAATCGAGCGTGGAGAAGTACAAATGTTAAAGGTTTCGACAGATCATAATGCTGCTGATATGATCACCAAGACGTTGCCCAGTTGCAAGTTTTTCCACTGTATGCAGTTAATAAAGTTGCATGAAGAAATCTAGTTTCTTGATGTTATAGAGTTAGATCCAAGGTGGAGATTTGTAGCATGTTGGATCGAACTCTAGTATGGTCGAAGTCTGTTCGCGAGTAATGCGTGTTGTAGTCGAAGTTTGTTCTAACATGCATTAGTCAATATTGCTAGGGTTGTTAGCATGTTGAATTGGGACTTGCTTGTAAGCCGAATTGTTTAAGTTATCTTGTACACTAAATTAGCTTGTAATGAGTAATTGTTAAAATACCCATTAGGTTAGTGTGCTATTTTTCTTATAAATAGGATACTAGTTTCTCAATCTTGTAATAAGAAAAAATAGGAAGATAAAATTATAATTTCAAGAGAGAGAGGTTATTTTTTTATTATTGTATACTTGTAATCTTGTTCTAAGATAAAGGAAAGAATAACCATTTAATAATCAATCTTTATTGTTTTATTCTTTATTAACTCTAACTCTTGTGTGTTTCTTGATCCTAAAGAAACTGTTTATACTTAGTTTTAAAATATCTGATTCACAACATCTTTTTATCTCTTTCTTTTCAAAATGACATTTGTTTAAATTTTTTACATACAAAATAAAAAATACAATAATATTATCTTAAGATATTATATTTTTATTAACTTAATTTTATTAATATATTAAAAATAATAAATAGAATAATAACTAATGAACACGGATAAATAAGTAACAATTATTTTTATATTAAAAAGTAAAAAATAATATTCATTTTAATTTTTTTATACTAAAACCACACTATTTTAAACGAGGTAAATAATATTAAAAATATAAACTTTCCACTGAATCTAAAACAACAAGATAAAATAAAGTTCAATCCAATCCACCAACAATCAAATATTTTACATGTGATAGAGACTATCCACAAGTCTTTAATTTACACACCAAAAAAAATCTTATAATTACTTTTTCTTGAGTCTTTTTGGAAAAGTAAAAAAAGAAAATATTAAAAAATAATTTTATAAATATATTAGTTTCTAGATTATACTAATGTAATAAGAAGCTGAAAACATGTGCTATGAAAGTTGAAAGCGACCTAATCCAGTTTCCGTCCTCATCAGATAGATAGTACCGCTGAGGTGGCTTATGTCGGGAATTGTAAAAAAATCAACAAACAAACAAAACCAAGTCCAACAAGGACATCTCGTACGCTAGCTGTACATTTCATTTCTAGAATTCATACCCATTGTAATCCCATTCCTCTTTCTCTTTATATGTAAACCTTTTCGATCTTTCCAAGTTACTGTTTCGTTTCCGATTTCGATTTCGATTTCATGGGTCTTCGATTTTCTTCTTTTCTATTTTACTCTACCGCTTCTTCCGGTCCCACTCTCGGTGATTTACCGGAGAGTTGCGTCGCTTCCATTATCGGCTACATGGATCCTCCTCAGATCTGTCAACTTGCTACATTGAATCGAGCTTTTAACGCTGCTTCTTCTGCTGATTTTGTTTGGGAATCCAAATTGCCGTCTAATTATCATCTTATCCTAAACAAAATCTTCGACGATTTTCCAATTGATTTGGGAAAACGTAATATTTACGTTTCTCTTTGTAGCCTCAATGATCTTGACAGAGGCACCAAGGTAAATTAAGGTTTAATTTTGAAAACCCTAATTTTTGGGGAAATGGATTTTTTTTGTTCTGATGCGTTTTTTTTTTTGTGTGCAGAAAGTTTGGCTTGATCGAGGGACTGGTAAGCTTTGTTTGGCTATTTCAGCTAATAAGGGACTATCGATAACTGGGGTTGATGATAGGAGATATTGGAATCATATCCTTACTGAAGAATCTAGGTGAGTTTTATTTATTTATATGTATATTTCTTTTATAGCATTTGTGTTTTTGGAATGTAGGAGATTTCTAGCACTGTGATTAGTTTTGTTTCTTATTGTGTGTAATTGTATTTTCGAGATTTTGGTGTTTAGCATGACTTTTTATTGTTTTGTTGGATGGTTTGAGGATGAGGGGATGGTGAAGGAGAGAAGGAAGGGAATGGGGTTAAATGGACAAACCTGCCTTGGATGCAGTGATATAGGACTGACAATGTTGAAGATTCTAGGTTTGGTGGAGTTAGTATTTCTTAATTTTCATTAAGGACTGTAATCGGATAGTAAATCAAATGCTCAATACCACCGTGTGTTAGTACAAGTGTGGGGCTTGTGCCCCTCAAACATGTGGTTATAGGTTCAATTCTTTGATTGATTTGTATGGGGAAAACATTTGGAAGTGAGTTCTTTGCCAATTCATACCCATGATGAGGGATTCCTTAACTAATTGATAGAAGAATACTCCTAATTTAAAAAATTTGATAAAAACAAGAAATATTACATAGTAATCTATTTAATAGACTAATAGACGTTGGTTTTTTGCATACATTTTATGGTCAAGTATCTATGCAGAATCTACATGCATCCATTGTCTTATTCTTGAACACTTGATGACGGTGAATACTGGTTAAGTGATAGTACATCGTAGAGTAGTCAATAGCGGCCCTATCCTGCTATAGTAGAGTGGAGCGGAGGCCTTCCGCTATGGGAAGAGCCTTCGCGGTGCAGAGCACTATAGTGGCTGCTATAGGGTAAATAGCGGGGGCGGAGTGGTTCCCGGCTCGGAGTGCTTTTTGTCCCGCAATCTTTTTCCCCTATGAAAAACCAAAATTGCCCCATAAATCTGACGCGTTTTAAGGGTAATTTTGTGTTACATATATAAATCTTAGTCAGTACTATTGTGAAGGAAACCTAATGGATATTGTTTAAGATTGGAGTTAAATCACATTGGTAAACATGCTTCCTTTTCTTTAATTTTCCTAGTTGATGATGCAATTTGTGAAGCTCATTATTAAGTAGTTTGATTGCCACTATAATAAATCTGTTTTAGTAGAGCTTTGGAATTGAATTGTGTCATCTCTGCAGATTCAGTACTGTTGCATACCTTCAGCATACCTGGTGGTTTGAAGTGGAGGGGGAAGTTGACTTCCCATTTCCTGCTGGAACATATAGCTTATTCTTCAGAGTACACCTTGGGCGAGCCCACAAGAGGTTTGGACGTCGGGTCTGCAACACTGAACATGTTCATGGGTGGGACAAAAAGCCCGTGCAATTCCAACTTTGGACATCTGACGGGCAATACGTTGCCTCCCAGTGTTTTCTGAAAGGAACTGGCAATTGGACTTTTTACCATGCAGGCGATTTCACTGTTGAGGATGGAAATTCATCAACCAAAGTCAAGTTCTCTATGACTCAAATTGATTGCACACACACTAAAGGTGGCATCTGTTTGGATTCTGCATTTATTTACCCAAGCGAATTCAAAAAGAGTAAGTCATTTTTAAATTGCTCATAACCATTTCTGGCAGAAAGGAATTGTACATCATGTCTGTGTCTAGTATGTATAGAACTTAGGGCGATGTCAAGAAGGTTAGAGAATCAAGTTTTTATATGATTCTTTAGGATTAGAGTTTTGTTGGAAGCTAGGAGGGAGTTAAGATGTGCAATTTGAGTCATTTCATTTATTTAATTATATTCAAATGGATTGTCTACCAAGTTTTTGTATGGTATAATTATTATTGAGAAAGTTGTATGTTTGCGGAAGATTGAATGTATGCTATCATTTTGATGACATTGAAACTCAAATCTGCAATTTTTCTGCTGGATTTCTCAATATATTATGAATTATGATATGATGGAAATAAACAACCTCAGAATCTATCTGAACTTTGTTCGCTCACGCGCACACACATACATTACTTGTGTCAAAGCTTGTAAAAGAAGAGCTTTGTTGAGATGAACTCATTGCATGGTGTGGATGAAGAAGAATTCAACTCAAACTTTGGAGAGTGCACACAAGCAACATAGTTTACTAAAGCCTTACACACCACTCAACAAGTTCTGAATAGTATGCCACATGACAGAGTTCATCAAGGTATATACACATTTCATCTAACGCCGTTGATTTAATTGAGTACGAACAGCGAAAACATAGTGCAAATTATAAGTGAACAACTCCATTACTAAAGTTTATCTCAAAGAAAGAAAATGATTGTTATGTCCTGAATCTCCAATACTTTAGGCACTTTATCCTCAAGAGCAAACCAAAGTTTGGATGAACAACCTTTTTAAAACATTTGTCCAAAATACTGAAGCCCATAACGAAAATAGTTATAAGGGCATCTCCAAAACTTAAAGGTATTTTTTGAGAGCATTTAATTTGCCACCCCTTCTATCAAACATGACACCTCTATTTTTTTGGGATTTTTTGAGATTTTTTATTGTGTCTCATAATTTTCAAAAAAATATCAGAATTTTCCGGTGAAAAAATCAATAATTTTTGAATTTTTTTAAAGAAATACTGGAATTTAAAAAAAAAAAAATTTTTGAAAATTTTGAATTTTTTTAACACTATCGAAAAATCAAAATTTCCGATAAACAATCATATTTTTTTTGAAATTTTTGATAAACTAAAGTATTTTTTGATAAACTACAAGTTTCGTTCGCATTTTGACTAAAATTTATCCACGAGTAGTTTGGAAATTATAAAAATGTGTGGGGTGTTAAATTTAATTGAGGTGATGGCAAGTTAAATGCTCCACTTTTATTCTCAAAAGTAATCCAAAGTTTGATGAACAACCTTTTCAAACATTTGTCCCTACAAAATATTAGAGCCCATAACTATACTAGTTGCAAGGACATTATTTCTCTCACCCTAAGTAGTGGAGAATGTCTTTACTAACTTGAAAATATATTTTTGAATACACTCATTTATGTTAAATTCATGCGTAAATAAGCCACACCTCTCTTTTTGTCAGAAATTAGTCCGGAGATCCACTTTCACATACACCCTACCTTATATGCACCTCATCCATTCCTAACTCAGACATCTTCATTTTGACATGATTTTGTTCGGAGATAAATTTTTGTATCGAAATACGGATATACATTTTCGTATTGACTCTAAAGGTAGTAAATTTTAATATTGTTTTAGAAATATAACAATGTAATAGACCATGTATTATAACTATACTATCATAATAAATTTTTATAGAGCAAACCATATACTTATCTAATAAGATGAAAATGCCATATAAATGAATCAATCTAGAATCCAAAATAACAAAGTAACAAACGATAATACTATCCATAATTTCTAATATACATACTATACTATTGTGTATGTTGAACCCTCTATTCCTTCACTATCTTCTACACTGCAATGTCGTTTGTGCCTCAGTAAGACATCTACAATGACCCTCTCAGAAGTGTCTTCTAAAAAGTCTCTTTTTCTACACCTGCTTTTACAACATTCATAATACAATTACAGGCAGACAACACATCAATGACATGATATGCACTACTTTGCTCCTTTTCTAATACCTTTTGATGAGTTGGTATAGGTAGGTTTCCATATATCTGGTGTCATGTAAGAATGTGACACTTTGAAGTACCATTGGACGTACCTGTATGCACAACTCTATTTGCTAGAAACTACAACACGTCATGATTTATCTGTTACAAGATGATTAAGGAAATCGTCATACATGGCATATACATTTCAATGGGTCATAAAAGAAGGAACAAACATGAACGGTTCTCTGGGTACAACTAACATATACCCGAATCGACACATGACTGAAGATGTGAATGCATCAGATATGACCTACAAGCTAACCATCCAGAGTAAAAGGCTATGTTATACAAGGTACGTCTGACGATGAAGGTCGTACAACTGGGGCATATATCAACGTGTATTATGTGGTCAATATACACTCTAAAGGAATCGATCACTGATTCGTTATGAGTATGACGAATGCACAAGCACACGTGTTGGAGGATCCGTGTCTGAAAATTGTACAGATGAATTATTAGTAATGACATAACACAAATATTATAAAAATGGTACACAAATAGTAGATGATAAAAATATATTACCGTCAACAGTGTGCATCTAGCCCTCATCTGTATGGTGTTCCAAAGACAATTTTCAAGTAACTTCAAGTATAGGTAAACCAAACTAGCATCCCCTAGTTGTACTCATGAATCCGTTCCAAGTCACTGAAGTATCTGAGGTAAACCACATCCACGTAATAGACATTCTTGTCCACAAATATGGATGTGTCAACCATGTACAATGTATATCTTCAACACATATGCTCTATGTTGCATAACTTTTTCATCATAATCATCAACCTTTTTTACCGCAGTCAGTTGGTATGCTTACAACCTCTTCAAGAATCCAATATAGCATGACACCACCGGGTGTGATCTATCTTCTTCAGGGCATCATCTGGCTTCTCTCCTAGATAGTCCACCATCATCTCCAATGCATCAACTCTGGTAATCATAAAGTGGTCTAATAATCTTCCTATGATCGAAAGATACAACAGACATGACATATCATATAGTGTGGACATCTCACCGTGTGGAATATGATGTCTCAAAGTTCCATCTCTCAATTAACGCTGACTGAATGCCATGGTTAATAGTAGTATAATCAGCCATGCATAAATCTCGCAGTCCAAATAGATGCATCCCATTATAAAACCACTCCTCATCAAGCTGTTACAGCCTCGCAATCTTCCAACAATGGTTGATAAATTTTAAAACATCATGGTATTCCAGAAAAATAAATCATCATAAAAAAGTATGAATATCATGACACATTTGTTTCAAAAAATAAATACAAATAAATTTTACCTCTTTGTCCCGTTCTTACCTGACAGGATGGTCCGCATATAAAGGCATCAATGATTAGTCATACGGGGTTCCTCCAAACTCGTAAAAAATGGATGCATTGATAATAGGTGCAATAACTTGGACTGGTGGTCTTCTAGGGCATTAGAAGGTGACATTTTTCTTCTTCGAGAAGATAGAGTCGGAGATGCATGAGACCTAGAAGTTGACGCATTCACATTAAATGAACTAGCATCAATCGGTGGTTGTTCGAAATGCAGTAAAGCGACAAGAAGCAAAATTTTAGATTTGAAAGGATTTCCTCAGAGATTTATCGTCTCCACAGGGATGTGTGCCAGGGGAAGAATACAGTTCAACAGTCTCTACATTTCTAAGCTTATTGTGAAAAAGTTGGTTAAAATATTTAAGGTACACTAGATAAAAGCTGAAAATATAAAGGTGAAAAGTATAAAGTAAAGACTGAAATATAAACGGAGCCTTGTTGGGATTAGATCTTATTAATTGATAGCATATGCATTCTTCTAACTAGTAAAACACAAATCAATCATTCGTCCAATACCATCACGTATCACCCACAATCGAGGTTATGTCTAACGCAAAGTCGAGAGAACAACCGTACTGTCTCATTGGTGATGTCTCACACAACTCAACAACACAGAACATTAAGAACTGATACTCACACAAATTCTAAGCCTAAACCTATGTCTAGAGTCTAGAACCTAACAGGTATCCAAAGATGACACCCATATCATATTCATGATTGATTCACATAAAACATCATGATCAGAATACATACATACTCTTAAACCTTTTTACATGCATTCAACTAATTTGTCATATGTATGTGAACATATTTCTTCATCGCTATTATCACGCATCCTCACAATACCGTTCGCGTCAAAAATGTTATCATGGTCTGGACCGTATTAATCCTACTCATGCTACTAATCAACACAATAAAATAAAAGTGATACTAGTGAATATCAACTTGCAAGACTATGTCAAAAGTTTGCTCATTGATAGATGAATATCTTAGATCAAAGATTTGAAAAGGTTTTGTAAAGACCCACAAATAAGAAATAAAAAATAACATCAATATTGAATCAAAACTAGTTCACAATACATAAATTAGATGAAATACATAAGGTATAAAAAAGTTACATTTAAACCCAACAAGAAATCGAAGCACTTACTCGAAGATCAAGCTTCGAGTTTCTTTAATTTTGGCTTCTCCTTCTTAGGGTTTTGTTTCTCTCTCTAAAATTATGTTTGGAATGAAAAGAGATAAAGTTCTGATCTCAAAAATTATAAGTTATGTCTAAAAAGTGAGAAGAGTACTTAAATAGTATTTACAAAATCTGTCCTATTCGCCTAGCGAACACCTTATTCGCCCAGCGAATATCACTTTATTGCACCTGAAGTGCCTCAGGAACAATTAGACCGCACTTGGAAAATATCTGACTTTTCCTAGCAAACACTTCTTTGCCCATCGAGCTTCTTCTCTACAAGTTCGCACAACAAACTTATGCCCCTTTTCTTACTGCCTCTAATCTGGGTTGGTTTGCCGGGACTTCGCTGCAACTTCGTTCAACGAATATCCGATGGCTGCTCGTTATTATTCGCCCAGCAAACGTGATGATTCCTCTTCATTTCTTT